TAGATAGATAGATAGATAGATAGATAGATAGATAGATAGATAGATCCTCAGTGGAACATTATTCAGTCCTAATTGATGAATAACATCATTTTCAGAAAGTGGAATGGAACTGGAGATTGCCATTTTAAGCTAGACCTGAAGTGAATACAGTCTGAAAATGAGCATCATTCCGTGTATGTTTGTTTGTACATTATGTGCATCCATGAGATGCATGTGACTCAAAGTGACAATCTTAGACCATTTGTGGATATATTTGTCTATTCCTGTATTAGTGTATTAATAGTATTTGTTCAGTCATGTCTGCCTGCTTTTGCCTTTGGGTGCTGGGATTAAAGTCTCCTTGTCATGTACCGCTTTTGTCTTTGGCAACAATAAAATCTGTTTCTGTGTAGATGTTGTTGCTGTAATGTTCTAATACTGTATAAAGGTTTAGAGACCTCATTGTTTTGTAGCGTTTTTAGCAATTTCTATTGTCTCTAACCTACTTTAGTAGCCTTCTGGAGTCATTCCTTTTTCAAGCTGGAAGTGAGTTATTTACAGTTTCTGGGGAAAATCCTTGTAGTCTATATGTATAACTTCAATCCTAATTGAACTATACTATTTAATGTCATGTATTGATAGTATGTTGTGAGTATTGAAACAAATTATTTAAATTGCTTTAGAAGTGAGCCCTCAGTAAACCATCAGCCCCTTTCCAGTTGGATATGGAACTAAACCAAGGTTGGATTGTGCTTAAAACCCCTGAAATGGTCTTCCACGTAATGCTTAAGAGTTCAAGTTGGCCGGGCAGTGGTGGTGCATGCCTTTAATCCCAGCACTTGGGAGGCAGAGGCAGGCGGATTTCCGAGTTCGAGGCCAGCCTGGTCTACAGAGTGAGTTCCAGGACAGCCAGGACTACACAGAGAAACCCTGTCTCGAAAAACCAAAAAAAAAAAAAAAAAAAAGTAGCTCCTGAACTACATGTGCACAAGAATCGGTTGGGGCGAAGGGGTGGTTGAGGGTGGGCTCCGGGATCCCCACCTCCCACTGCTCAGCTATTTGCTACTGATAATTCAGGGACCAGGGAGTCATTGCCCTCAGGTGTGTACCTACTGGTACACTCTGTTCCAGAGCTTAATAGATGATTCCAATCAGCAGTTACACAGATGGCCTTGGTTAAATGAAATGGGTCACAAAACCAGAGCAGAAGTCTTGAATCTGGGACATGTAGAGAGGGAGGAAGGTTGGTAGCGGTAGGAGAGACAGATGAGGGAGGGGTAGGGAAAGTGCAGTTGGAATATGTATAAGATCAAACAATGAAGAATAATTTTTAAGTAGCTGTGAAATCTTCCATTTATCTTCTATTTATTTGGTTAAGCCATGCTACTTTGATTAGCCTATCTCATGATAGTAAGAGTAAGCTGATTTTAACAAACAAGAAAAGACCCCAGACTATCAGCTTAATGAAAGAGGCCATATGGCCTCTTGGCTAACTTTCCATGGGGACTCAGGATCATGTTTGGTCTCTTTTCTGTGGCGTTAACAGCATATAATAATGAATTTAATGTATTTTTAGGTATATGTACAAGTTAATAAAGAAGCGATGGATGATAAAAATGTCACAAAATCAGCACATGAGTTCTTCCACCGACTAGAACTGGGTGACACGCAGGCACTGTCACTGTGGCAGAGATTCCGGGACTTGAGCATTGAAGAGTACACCCAGATTTACAAGGTACCATGCAGTCTCTGTGCTCCCTGTCCTGGGTGGCTTGGCCAGTGCTGCTGCTTACAGCCTGCTGCACAAGCTCTTACTCAAGACTAGATTCTAGATTGGTTGAAAACTCAGTGGAATGGCATTCTTGGGATAGAGAGATAAAATACGAAACAATGCAGAGCAGTGCCGGGTCAGCACTACTTTAGCCCTTACCCTCTCAAGGAACCATACTTAGGAATGGCACTGGATGGTGATAAAGGAGGCTCTGGAGGACGTGGGCACAGTGAGCAGCTGTATGGAAGGGGGCTAGAGGGCTGGACTGGAGCTTGACAGCCCCTTTTCAGGGCTCTACTGTATCATGCAGACTTCTGGTCTTGTAGCCGTCCTCAGTTGCACGGGCCCAGCAGGTGCCTCTGGATGCATGAATACCTGTAGTGTAACTAAGGAACTGCCAGAGTAAGTGCTCAGTGCTGTCTGCTTCTGTTTCTGAAGCCTTTAGTACCTGTGACTGCTATAGTGAACAGCAGATACACTGTGAGGACTTGGCCAGTATGGTGTGTGTGAATCATTAGAAAGTTTACATTTTATTTTTCCCATCTTTGTGACAGTTGGTAAGACATCTTTAATTTTGTCTTAGTGTCTAAAACAATTTAACATTTTTCTTGTATTTCTAAATCTTAGCGTCTTGGAATATACTTTGATGAATATTCAGGAGAATCATTTTATCGTGAAAAATCTCAAGATGTCTTAAAGATGCTTGACAGCAAAGGACTTCTACAGAAAACAGCGTATGATTGAGTTACTATTCTTTCTTTTTCCTTAAGATTATGACTCACTAGCTGCCCTAGAACTCACTGTAGACCAAGCTGGCCTCAGACTCAGAGATCTTCCTGCTTCTGCCTCTCAAGTGCTGGGACTAAAGATGTGCACCACCACTCCCAGCCCCATGTGCTGTATGTACTGGCTTTAGTCAAGTTATGTGTATCCCTTGAAAGTGACAATATTGAGCTTTTTTGCCATTTGTCCTTTCACTTGCCAGCTGTGGGGGTACAAAACCTTTAATCTCAGCACTTGGGAAGCAGAATCAGGAGGTCTCTCTGAATTCCAACACAGTCAGGGCTGCATGGTGAGACTGGTCAAAAAAATACTTTTGCAAGCTGTGCATGGGGAAACATGCCTGCAATATGTATGCAGGAGGCTGAGACAGGAGATTCATTAGTTCAAGGCTGGTCTGAACCATACATCAAATAATGAGATGCCTTCTCATATGCTGTATAGCACTTTCATAGCTAAATCTCAGATCACAGGAGTAAGGGAGGCACCTGTTAAGGTATGAAGTATGAAAATGATGTGGCCTACCTCAGGTTACATAATCATGTGAAGACAAGAAATAGAACACTTTTGTGGCTTAATGTTGCCTTTTACAAAACTACCATTTTCAAAAGTATTTAAGGCAACTTATGAAAATAGGTATGTTATAACAGGCTTTCAATGAGTGAGGCAGAGAAATCAGGGAATAGTGGGAAAGATGGTGTAAAGTCAGATAATGGTACTACATCCTTGTTGGCAGTGTTGCCTTGCATATAGTAGAATTCTTTCCTTTTTGAGAAACTTGACAAATGACTATTTTGTGTTTTCATGTTGTTGTATCCTGATACTTTATGTGTATGTGCTTTGTGGAATGCCCAGGTCAAGTGCATCAGTACACATAGCTGTGGTGACCACCTCCAGCCTACCTGGTGGTTTTCACTATTGTTGCTTGCAGCTTGAACTGACACTACTTACCGTGACGTACTTAACAATAAAAATAGTCTCTGCTTTGCCAATAATGCTATAGATACTCTACCGCCAAAGTAGAATTAATGTGTTGATTTAGACTTTCCCTCTTGCATTTTCTAGAAAGGGAAATGTTGTAGTAGATCTCTCCGGGACTGGCGACCTCTCTTCTGTCTGCACTGTGATGCGAAGTGACGGGACTTCTCTCTATGCAACCAGGTTCGTAGCATCTGGGAAGGTGAGCGCTGCTGTGTGTAAGGTCAGCGCAGGACATCAGCTTATCCTCACAACCATTAAAAAATCCTAGTTGCAAAAGATAAACCTATTACTTGATTATTTTAAGAATATTTACTGATTTTCTAGTTATTGACAGTTACAATTTCCAGAAAGATTTAATATCAGAAGAGTGGGACTCTATATTTAAATTTAATTCAGTATCATGATCTGTTTACAGCAGAACACATCATTCTATGTTCCTTCATAATCATATGTTGAGTGTTTTTAATAAGTGCACATTGTCAGGAAATATATTCTAAAAAACAACCAAGCTAGGGTTCAATGGTGATCTCACACATTAAAGACCATTTTACATGCATGTAAATGCCAAACCTCATTGTATTGTAAAAGAACAAGCTGAGGAAGAAGAAGGCTCCTTCATGCGTCACCCTGTGGAAGTGAGTACTCATTGTTCATATATAAGAACCGCACTTTCTATGCACACGTGGAAGAGAAGACAGGACATCGAAACAGCCATCCAGCCAGTGTGGGCCAAAGCTTCCAGTGTCTCCAGACCCAAGTTTCAAGTAGCTCACAAACCACTATATACATTTCTTTTGTTTATTGTCATTGTGGTTCTACACTGACCTATGCCAGCAGTTACACAGAGACTTTTATAATGTAATGGTATTTTTGCTATTGAATACCATCACTATTATAAATAACTTGAGGCAACCAATGAATTTTCCTAGTGACCCTTAAAGAATTCATCTTTTTTTTTTTAATTATTCTTTAATCTTTTTTTACAGTTCAGTTGTTATCCCCCTCCTGGTCTACCCTCCAACAGTTCCTTATTTGATTCCTCCTCCCACCACCCAACCCCCAATCTCCAAGAGGATGTTCCTACTCCCACCTCACCAGATCTCTGAATTCCCTGGGGCCTGAAATGTCTTGAGGGTTAGGTGTGTCTTCTCTCACTGAGGGCAGACCAGGCAATCCTCTGCTGTATATATGTCAGGGACCTCATATTAGCTGATATATGCTGCCTGATTGGTAGCTCAGTGTCTGAAAGATCTTGGGGGGTCAGGTTAGTTGAGACTGCTGGTCCTCCAGTGGGGTTGCCCCACTCCTCTGCTTCTTCCAACCTTTCCCTAATTCAACCATAGGGATCTCCAGCTAAAGAATGCTAAAGAATTCATCTCTTTTTAGCCTTTCTCTTCATCAATTTCCTGCAATTGGGTTAATGAGAAAAACTGGAATGTCTAAGAGATATGTGTGTGTATACATACACACATATGTATATATATGTGTATATATATATATATATATATGTGTGTGTGTGTGT